AACGTCAGCGCTAGGTGATCGATCTCGTAGCACGACAGGCCGGTCAGCGTGCCGTCCCAGAAGCTCAGGTCACCCTCCTTGTTCGGCAGGGTCAGCGGGTCGGCCTCGCGCGCTACCTCGGCCCGCTTGTCCAGCAACAGCGCCTTCACGCAGTGGGAGAGCGCGTCAGGGTCGTCCAGAACGCACTCCAGCTGCTCCTCCGATCTGCGGTTCCGGTTGGATGAGCTCCGGATCGACCGGCTGGGCGTCGCGGAACGGTGCCCCTCCGGTGGCGCCAGATCCGCCAGTGTCGCGCAGCAGCAGCAAGCCAGCAGGGCCAGCGTCAGCGCACAGCCGACCGGCGCCATCTCCACAGCTGCGTCGACCTGAACTGCGGCTCCGGCAGCCGGCGCGGCTCATATAGGTGAGCGCGGCAGGCGTGGCCCTCCGGAATCGCAGCCCGCGCCCGGAGGCCGCGGGCTTTCCAGCCACTCGCCCCAAGGCCCGAGCTGACGTGGCCCGAACTCGGGGGCTCCCCGGCAGCGCCGGCGAGGCCACCTCCCAGCGGCACGAACTCGGGGGGCCCCCTGGCAGCGCCGACGGCCGGATGGGCGCCGGCGAGGCCACCTCCCAGCGGCCTGAACTCAGGTCAGGTGGTCTACCAACGCGGGTCGTCGAACACGGTCAAGCTAACACGCAGTGCGTATAAATATAGCAGTATATGATAAGATATAGCGGCACCAAGAATTGACAGCCTTCGGGGATGCTCGTCGCCTGCCATTATGACTCCGTTAGTTGAAGGAGGCGCTGCCTGCTGCTAAACCCCATCACTAGTGGCTTTGTTTCCAACACTGAAAGCGTGCTGGTGCAGATTCTTTCGCCACAAGTTTACATGGTGCATATTGTACTGTTACATATCACGCGGTACGTTATACAGATGTCTCATGAGAACTTGGTGAACACCACGACCCGGGCCAGTCATTTGATTATGACTACGTGCAGCTCCCAGCACTGCAGAATGCACCGCCTGAACTTCCCCGTGACTCACAGAGCGTAACAGGCAGGCACTGCCTCATGGCCATGGCTTTCCAGCTGCCGCGAGCAGCTGAACACAAATCCGGCGCTGGTCTCCCACGAGGGCCTGGTTTCTCGGGTGCACGCCACCCCGTCTGTGGGGTTCACCGATCGGGTGTTGTGGTCCCTGCGCTATGGTTTATTTCGGACCCCCTTCCAGATATCTTCGGGGACTTCATCGCCATCGTCGTCACAGTCCCGATTGTCGAAGGGAATGCTGTGAGGCCTACCGTTCTTGCTAAACGAGGTGTTTGGTGTTTCCATGAGTTTACACGACCGCGATAGGTGAAAAAGCTGTGCGGCTCAAACTACCCGCTGTTCAAAGCCTGTCACAATTGTCATAATCGCCAGTCGTGAACCGTTCATGCGGCACAAGAGCACATATAGGCGACGATACAATTACTAGTGCGCGGCGACGCACGTGGCAGGGCCCAGGCCTCAACATCATGCGTAAGCTCACGAGTTCACGCGTTACGACTGGGCTGCAGTCAGCAGTGCTTTCATGACATATAATTTGGTAAGTGTTGTCTGCAGCGCGGAGCTGCTAATTAAGACTGCTCTGTGCATCGCCTGCAAATTCTCCTGATCTTCTCTGACCAGCATGGTTGTATGATATTGTTGTAAGATCTAAACCCTTGCATCGCCCCACTGCTGTTGGGTTTTACTTTGGCTCCTCTGCTTGGCCAGCATGCTCTTTGGGCTCCTGATGTAAGTCTCTTGGGTATTCGCTGCTGCGTTTTGTCTCTGTTACGTTAATATATTTTCTTAGTTGCATCAGTATCTCTGTTGGTATTTGCGCGATGCTGATGACATTTCCCAATGCCTGTCTTGACAGTGTCCGGGTAGCGTGACTGGAAGCTCAGGTGATGACCGGTTGTTGTTGGTTTCCGGCACATCAACGTCCTGGGCCTGCTGTCGGTTCTCTCAACCTGCACGTCTGTGAACAATAGTCGGCCTTGCCCTCACGGTGCATAAGATTATCCTGACAACACCAGGACAGTCTTCAGAAGCAGCTCAACGCTCTGGAGAACACTTACCAAAAATGGACCACTGACATCTGAGGAGCATGCGAGGAGTGTCACGTGAAGCTTACCATGCGATTGTGGCAGGTACTACAAAGGAGAAGCATGCCGCCCTCCGTCGGTCAGACTGGAGGCGCACAGGAAGGCAACATTCAGGGTGGGACTCTGGAGTCCGGTGTAGCATATATGGCCGGAGGGCGATGACAGACCACCTCGGGGAGAGATAGACAATAGAGAGACATGAGACAACAGCCATCATCGGCAGAGAGCAACACTGACATGCGGCATTACTGGCAACACTGGCAGAAAGCTCAAGCAGGCAGCACAAAGGTCATTGACTAACAACCTCATGAGTAAGCCAGGCATCAACATGGGCCCGATACGGTTACCACATCTGCGGAAAAACCTCTAGATATCCAGGAGGTGAATAACAAACAGCAAGTTCGAACACGGACAGGTTGCCCTTCTGGTTGGCTCAGTTGTAAAGCCCGGAACCCGCAAAATCAGAACACCCCGCCATTCGAATCTGGGCAACCCCCGGCAGAAAATTTGGGTTGTGAAGCCGACACGGCTGAAGACAAACACCACCCAGTCTTCAACAGTTAACTATATTGTTGACATGGGCGGCCGAAGGTAGTTCGAATTTAGACTGAGACGGATAATCGCTCGATGAACCATTGCCGAAGTGTGTTTTCATCGGCGAAACCGACTTGATGTCGTATTAAAGGGGGTGTTCCACATCCAGATGGGGTTTTGAACTGAAAGGCTGTCTCGAAGACCAGTCCGTACTGTTCACAATCCTGCCCTTTTCAAGACCTAGGCACTGAGCCCTATCCTAAAGCCCCAAGCCTTTCTGAGCTATACGCCCGCGAAAATTGGGAACGGATATCGGGTATGGTACTTTAAAGTCTTTTTGGTATTCATGGTGTTATAATGACGTCATTCAAATCCTGCCATTCCATAAGCCATGCGTCGATCAATGCCAAAAATGCAATTGTCGAGGCATTCACATCTGGTGCTCGTGGGCGCGATTTCCAGATATAACAGCCGCCAACTGGCTCTTAACCAATGCTGTGCAAGGTACGATGACGTGATCACACCATGACACATTGAGGAGCATATTTACTAAACAGAGCATTGCGCTGTCTAGAGCAGTCTTGTCAACTTAAAAAGTGTACCAATGGTTGTAAGTGAATTTGGTTCATCATGTCTGAGGCCTTAGACAGTAGTATTAGCATTATTCCTCGGAAAAATCAGCAGATTGGAGATACAGTTAGCTTGATATTTCGGCAACATGCCTTTATCGAAACAATAGCAGAAGTCTTCTATTGCCATACGTAGTAGACTTCTGCTATTGCTTCGATAAAGGCATGTTGTGACAGGGTGGACACTGCCAGAACAAAAATTTGTAATAATAGTAATGATTGGGGCTTTATATCATACCGACTTCCAGGGCCATTTCGAGACGGACGCCTTTATTGGGGTGTCATGTGGGATGTGGTTACGGCGTGGCATGGACCAGATCCCAAACCCACAGGTCCAGAATCAAGCGCCTTAGCCACTTTGCCACAATATATGCCAAACACTCTTGCCTGACACTGCTGCCTCACCACTTGGATGAGCGTGTTTCAAGCAGCCTCAATACCACGGATTCGAACAAAATTGCAACCTGAACGAATGATACTCCTATGGGAAAGGATTTCTGCACGCGCGCGATTCGAATTTGCCGGACGGCGCTCGGGTGTTGAAGTGGGCCCGATAATTCGCACCGAGACCAGGTGATAACTTAATTCGAATTTCAGCTATCAATGAGGTGTTTAAATTTAATGTCATGTAAAGGCCTAACGACGGATGGAGGATTAACTAGCTGAAACGTTGTGTGCACAATAATGCACCAGACCTCGACGATAGCCGAATTCTCCCATCTAGGTTACTGATACGTCGTCTCATGCCGTTCTGTCTCATTCCATCCGTGTCACTAATACCTCGTCTCTGTCCGCAAGGCCACCTACACCACTATACCATTCCATCGAACTATTGTGTTATGCTGCGTTCGGTGGGGGTGAGTCGTTCCGGCTCTTCGCTTGATCAAGTTTGGCTTGGCTAAAATATTTTTCGTTTCAGATCGCGTAAGGCTTGGCTTTGGCGGCCAAACATTCGCAAACGCTACAGGCACTGGTTTAACGTGTGTGGAGTATGTGTGTGCGTGTGTGTGTGTGGGGGGGAGGGTGAATGAGCTTTCACAGTATTCTAACATATGCATATTAAATGCGTTGATTTTCTTGCAACCTCAGACCCGTTATTTTGGAGGAAATTTCAGTCCATGCAGTGATCAAATTCTTCTAAGCCCGACGTCTTTGGTTTTGTCTTCATCAGACACAAAAATAAGGCGGTCTCACCCGAGGAGCAGCCGGCGCTAGTGGCACAGGTGTATGCACATTTTGGATAAGATATATCGTGGAATCTCATCATTAAAAATTTATTAACATGTGCTGGGAATTGTGAACACCGCTGGAGAGTGCTGAAAAACTTGGCGTATCGAAACTGTTGGAGTGTCTGTGGGGAAAAGGCCATCACCAGCATTTTTCCAGGAACGCTGGACTGCCGCAGCCGCGCAGGTCGTGATACAGATCCTTGATCATATCGCATCACCTCCACCCGTGTTCGCCAGCCAACCAGTGGGAGTTGCCATGACAACGCCGGCTGACGCTAGACACCACGACCATCCAGAGGCGGCGGAAGCGGGTTGACACCCACAAAGCCGCCGACACAACGGTTGGTGCGTGTTGGGCACATGCAGTATCCTAGGAGCTAGGTCGCTTACGTTTTTACAATGCCCCATTGTCGTGTTTGGTCGCAAGCAAACACCAACCCGCGAACAGCTTGGATGGCTTTGCTCCAAAAGTAGCCTGGAAACGGAATGAAACGGAAGCACACGCTGCTAATTAACGTCCATACGTTAATTGACTTCCATACTTGTGGGTTCCAAGACATGCGCAAATATATCGAGAGCACGTATGGCTTCAACGGTTCCGCTGCGCCTGCATGCGAGGACTGGACGGTCCCACAAACACCATGGTCCTGGCATGGCGCCAGTTTCGATCGACTCCACCATTTGCAACAAGAGTCACCAGGCTGACGTTAACCTGTGACTCACTGAGTGGAGCATGCAGTCCTCTTGACAAGTGACGCTGCTATGTGGTGTGACCCAAAGCAAGGACATCTACAGTAGCCTGGTTCAGCCAACACACACCAACCGTAGCCGAGTACGAATCATGGCCCAATCATGTTGGGAAGTTTATTTGCATAATTTTAAGTACACGGGCGGCTTTCCTGCCCCATCCGGCCCCAACCACAATGCTTCACAGCGCCACAGCCCACACATATAAAAGGTTACAAAGCGATCAGCTCCGCCTCGTCGCCTGGCCACGGCGGCCCGCGACCGCGACACCTACACCGGGCCTTACAGACCCACTACAGCCGACACAGCCGCGCCAGAAACTCGCCTCGCCCGCCACCCTCCGCTTCCGGTCACAGCCAATCCCACCCCACGCCGGCAGCGGCGCCAGCTAGTTCTTCCACTGGCTCTTCTCGTAGTCCCAGTTGGAGCTGACGCCCTCGACCGGGTTGATGCGCAGGTCGATCATGCGCTGCACCTGCGCCTCCACCTTCTCCGGGTTGGTGATGGTGTCCGGCATGGTGTCGTACACTGTGGACGGACGGGCCACACTCACGCCCAGCCAGCGGAGTCCCCTTCACTTCAACGGTGCTCTCGTGACGCTAACAAAGTGAGTGCTGCTGTTGTAGTGGTTCACATGCAACAACCGACTCGAATGAAACCGTTCGGAAATCCATGCAGGCAAGGTAGTGTTATGATATTACCAAATGAGCCAACAGCAACCATGGATATTCATAACGATTTATATTTCATCTTACAGCAATAGGCAGCTGTTCCATATCATGCATTTTTGATGATGTTCGATGAACTTCTCTCGTGACGCATTGTTTTTGCTGAACTTCTCTCGTGACGCATTGCTTTTCCCTCCGTAGCTTACATGGAATTTTTAAAGTGTAACGTTTAGTGCGGACATGAAGTGGACTGGTTATTTCTAAGTGTCTTATTAAATAACACTGATGTTCTTGCTACACTTGTCTTGAGGTGCACGCGGGTCGCCTTTGCCACTGGCGAGTTCGGAAGTCAAGGTGCAAGTAAAATATAACCATTTCGCCTCACATCTGCACTAGGCATTATAATTGTTCACATCTGAGGCTGGAAATTGTTCAAGCAATTCAACGTTTCAACATAATTCCAACGCATATCTGAGCATAACGCTGCGTTGTCCAACCCCGTCCCTGTTGCGCTCTAGTTACACCTCATCAAAATCCCTCTCCTATTCTCCACGCGTTGCGTGATTTATGGATAGCACCCACGGTTGCACTTACCATGGCAAGTCCGAAGGAGTTCCATTCTGACAGCCTACACATGACGTCTATTTCCCAAAGGGCCATCACAAATGTCTGGCTTCCATTTTTTCCTTCAGAACGACATCTCAAGTCGATCCTTCTCTCCAAATATCCCGGCTCAGCTCCCGCACCGCCTCCGCCGACTCACCGTACACCTTCATCCAGAGGTAGACCCAGATGGCCATCGAGCAGGCGATGAGCGTGCCGCCCAAGGCCAGCTTCCACTCGCCGGTCGGCGCCTGCATCTCGGCGAAAGACTGGCAGAACGTGGCGCGGTACAGCTCCTGCACCTCCTCCGGCGTCAGCTTCTTCCAGTCGCCCTTCTCCTTCTCACGCAGAGCCTGCCCGTACACACGTTGACGCTCGGATGCTGCTGCTCTAGCTTGGTGCTAGCGTGCAACTGTGCTGCCTTCTCCGGTAAGCATTTCATTATTATTTTTTACGCATTAATGGTTCCACCCTATATCAAGACATCAATTTTATTCGCCGTCTTTAATGAAACACGATTTACAGAGCAAGTGTACAATACATTTTTCAAAGAGTGCTGCAAATTTGTACGGAGGTTTGAACTGAGCCAATTGTCTTAAAGGCCATTTGGTACAGTTCACAGCCCTGCCCTTATCAAGACCTAAAACCATCTAATTTCTGAGCTACACACCCGCCAAGATGTGCAGACTTTATCGCGCAGACTATTTCAAGGCCATTCAGGCATGCATAACGCCTTAGAAGCATAACTGAAATCCTGTCACCCCTTGGCCATGTGACACTTAAGGCCAATAGGAATATAATCGTCGTGTCATTCACATCTGGCGTTCACAACGATTACCAGATATGACAGACGTGAACTGGCTCTCAATCGATGCTGTGCGGGCTGTGCAAGATTCAAACAAATCACGTTTAGTGTTGCACAATAAAGGAAGTTGGACTTAATGCATTGTTATTACGGGAATAAGACTTGTGATCAAATAAGTTGAGAATGGTGCAATATCCTGAGCATGTGAATAAAATTATGTGACTTAAACTCACGATCAACATGCAAGAACACCACAAGAAAGGGCCAAAGCACGAGCACACAACAATATTTGGTTTGACAGGCAAGCTTATCACCAGCACAGCGTCATGGCCACCTCTTGGGAAACTGGAGTACTTCAAGGAGTGCCAGGAAGGCAGCTTTGCAGGTTTAGTTTGGTAGTACCTCAACAGGATGCAAATGTTCTATGATGCAAACAGTGACATCTTGAAAATAATTACTTAATTGCAAAATTGTGTTGTTTGGAGAAGTCATTTCTATTATGAAGTATGCCAATCACTATAAGTGAATTAATTTCATTATATCTGATGCTTACTTCAATATCTTCAAATGTGGAACACTCATCCAACTGACAGTGGTGAAATTATCACAGCTGTGACACTTAGTAGGTGAGTGCTGGTATTTATGACTTGATTATTCCATTTGCTGCCATAAAAGCTTAGTTATCACACCTCATTTAAATTTCAATTCATTTTTTATCACCTTACCCGGGCAACTGCCTGCACCAACCTTACAAACATGAGCTGCAAATGCGGACTATCTGCCTTGCGATGGAGGTCCCGCACATTTCGCACCTTGATCTGTGGCGTTTCCTCCTTGAAGCGGACGGCCGGGATCGGGTAGTCGACGCGGTCCATGTAGTTGGGCTCGCCGTTGTAGCCGTAGCCGATCACCTGGCGGTTGCCGTGCCGCTCCATGACGGTGGGCAGGCCACCGCCGCTCAGCGCGGCCGGCGTGGTGCTCAGCCGTGCCACTGCCACCCGGCCGCACCGGCGCAGTACCGTGCCCGTCGCCGTCGCCATGCTGCAACGCCATTGGCGCTTGTGAAAATGGCGTGACACAATTTGGAGACACACACACACCCAGACACGTGCACCCACCCATCATGGATTAAATCGGGAGCCTCAATATCAAGAGCATAGGCTATTAACAAAATTTTGACCACATTTTTAATGCAGCAGAATCACCTTGCCAGAACTAACATAGTACTAAAGTTTGGGGTGTTATTTTAGAACATCTACTAAACTTTAAGGTGATTGAGCATAAAATTATTTTGTGTGCTCACAAATAAATACACAATGCCTATACTGCTTGCTGTGCTAAGGGACCTGTTCAAACTTAAGGCCCCTTCAATGACAAGACACATATAATGCTATATTCTTTCACCAGGCTCACCTTCAGAAACTGACTGCTAATTTTTTATACCAGAAGCATGGAATGAACTCCTGCCCAGAATTTCCAAAACTCAACCCAAATACAAATTCTTGTCCCAGCCCTGGCCCAATGGGATCTTGTTAAAAATGACCCTGATTCACAGATCAATGTCCTGTGCTTTGCTGGGATAGTAGAAGAGATCCTCCCAGTAACCTATTCATGGGTGACAGAGAAAAAGCTACTCATGCTGATTTTTATTGCAACAGCCTCCACTGGTATCAAAAGTAGTAAAACACCACTTATGGATGGCAGAAGTAGTAGCATTGGTTCAATTTGGGTTGTAAATGTTGTCCAGAAGATAACTTATCATATAGTACTGCTTGATATACACCAAAGCATGCCATACATCCAAAACCTGAAAACTATGAGCAAGCAGAAACCACAGACAAGAAAACCACATGTACCTAGAAATCAGGAGCATTGACACAGCATTAAATTATCTTGCACAAATGTTTTATTACTGACTAGAATTTACTAATTACAACCTTAAATAGGAGTACTATGTGATGCATGCAATATGCACTTCATTAGAACAAGTCCTGCTGGGTAATAATCAAGAATGACCTTACACAGCTCATGAGAGCAGACTGCAAGGAATAACATAACTTTGACATCTGTGATATTTTAATATACAGAGGCTTTCAAATCCCAATCCATTTATAAGTGTTTTAGCTATTGTCATGTTTTATATTAACATAACAGGCCTCATTCATATCAGATGTTACACCTCCTTCAAGTTTCATTAATGTGCTGCACCATGCATTCCATTTTAGATTATCACCATGGTGAAGTGACTAAGAGCAGATTTTGACACATCCATGTCCATATCAATGGAGCAGCAATCACGTTTTCAATGGCTGGTGTCCATCTAGCGGCCTTTTTCGCCCCAGAAAAAGGCGTTCGCGGCGCACAAACCCATTCGCCTCGTTCGAAACTATGATCACACAGTTTTACGATCTATTTTTATTGAAGAAGTGCCGTAAGGATAGCAAAATACAAAAAATGTGGGTAACTTGCATCCTCAAACTTTTACGCACCCAGAAAGGGAACAAACCACCTGCCACGCCACCCAAACGGTTTGTTTGCTCGAAGTCGAACGCCTGACCTCTACAAGGTCTGGAAAAATAACGAGGAAGTGAAAGACGCTAAAGTGAGGCAGAATCGAGCAAGCACGACGAGAGAAAAAGCTGTCGTATTCATGTTAACACAAGTAAGTGGCAAAAATGTAGTCCTAGCAATCGTAGTGTCTTAACCATAGGTGACGATTTGCATTTTTTGGGTGGGACGCTGCCCGCTCCCAATGCTCAGTCTTACTCCCAACAGTGAGTTTGGCCATCCAACTTTGTGGATTCTGAGTGCCAGCAGGACATCAAAAATAAGATCACAAAATTCAATCAACTTGAGTGAAAGTTTTTGCTTCCGCTGTGATGATAACCTGGTAAAAGAAACACATGATTCGAAAAATGCAACTTTTTCTGTTGGGTGCAGCTGACTGAGCTACTCACGTCTTTATACTATCTGTTTTCATCCATGTTGCATGTTTTTGATTACGCGATTAATGTATCTTATTGACACTGATCTAGGTCTGTAATAACGTCTGAGTGCTTTGGCATTATTCAGTGATGTTTCAATTCCTTCAAGCTGCAGCAGGCTGCATTGTTTTATAGCGACGTCTTATGGGAAAATGAAAGCAACCCTTTTGAATACCAGTGCCTCAAAAAGTGCCCATGCTTTTAGCTGTCTACGCCTGAGACAGGCTTTGGAATGCGCAAACCATCACTTGAACGTTAATTTTCGATGGACAGTAACGAAAACCTAACGATAGGCATCAGCCGATGATCACCAAAACAACACTACTCATGTGGAACTTGTCTAACGCGATTGCTGCGTTGCATCTTGCATCCTGCCTTACGGCTACCAGCCGCGAGTTTCCATGACAGCCTTCAATTGTCGCACGCATCAACTTACTCTGTTTACTCTCGAAACCACGTAACACCGCCTTTCGAGAAAACTGAAACCTGGTTTCGACGATCAACGCCAAACAAAATGATAATGGCGCCTAACGACAAATCCTTCGCCGAGACAGAACAAAAACACGTGTTTAAAAACCTATTGAACACATTTAAACGTATTAAAAAAGAAAACGTTAACGTATACGATTTTGACTGTACTTTCCTAATCGGCTTTTTCGGGGATGGCGGGGGGGGGGGGGGGAGGCTCAACTCCATCACGATGAGATATGAGTCAAATCCGAGGAGAACTCAGTTTTTTGCATAACTAGGGCTAAATTTTCACTCAGCTCCCAGCCCTGTTTTGCCAAACTACAACTCTGTGGTGGAAACTCAAGATCGTGGCACGCGACAGAATCCCCACCGGCTTGCTCCAGTTTCAAATTTTGAAGGACTGAGGGTCCATTTCCCAAGCAGGCTTAAACCCAGCCCCCACGAATTACATTGGTCAGGGCTCCTGCGTCCATGAGGATGCCTTTATATCTCTGTCGGGGTCACAGAATACGCATCGACTACCGTGGTTGGAGAGGTTGAGATTTGATGGGGCATTGCCGAGAAGAAAACAAAGAAGGGGGGGGGGGGTAGATAGCGTAACGTTTTCGCTCAGGTACGGCTTCAAATCATGCTAAGCCTTTTAAAATCGCCCTGAAATCTGAATGCTAGACATCCTTACCTTGCACCTTGTCGAGGGCGGGATTTAGAAGACCGCTGGACCTGCCGGTCCCGTTCACGTTAAGCTTCTGAGTTATTCAACCTACATTAAAGCCGGTCTGGAATGATGTATTTTGCATGTATTTCATTAGACGAATTCACATTCCATCATCATTGGCTGTATTCACAGCGCATCAAGAATGCTCTATTCTACGTAACGTCATATATAGTCATTGGCGGGCGTGTTAGCAGTGCAGCACTTTTTCTGTTTAAGTCCTCGCAACTGCCGTGACAATAATTGTGCACGCAAAGATTTCGCTTGCGGGTGCCATGCGTGTACCTTATCATAGCAATTGCAAATTGCGCTATTCGTAACGTATAGCACAGCTCTTTGTCATTCGCGTTCGGTCTTGGGCACGCAGATTGACACGTCACATGTCTATGCATTGCGCTGTTTCTATCTGGCCTTAATGAAGTCGCGGAAAAAAATTATGCGCGTTCAGCAAAGACTACACGTGACGTAATGAATAATCTTCGTCGTCCAGGTCGCAGCAAACATCGAAAGGCCTTGCATCTACATGGTATGACGACATGAGTGAAATCGACGGCATATTTTCTCTGTCTTTGGGGCGCTGCAATTCGTCTAGGACGCTCATGACGCGCATGTGTCCAGTGCGCGTCTGATCTGAATTTGAGCCGTCTTAGTTTATCAGATGCAGGCACACTGCGGCAATGAGCGCTCCATTCGTGGACAACCCTCACGCGGAAGGCACTCCTTCTGACCCGTGTCACTGATCGAGATTCGTTTGGCTTGCAGGCGAGGTCCTCGTGGAAGTCGTCGTGGCTGGCGAGAGGAACCCGTCTAGATCGATTTAAATTCCTGAGTGCCAGATGTGGTAAACAGTGATCATGTCACCTTGGCGTATGCCCTGGTATATGAATGACAAACGAAGCTTAATGAATTTTTCCCGACTAACATCCTCGCGCCCCAAAATCAGAGACAGCGGGTCGTTGTTTAGCCGTGTCCCAATTGTTTAGCCGTGTCCTAAGTGCACCCAGATTCTTTTCCTGGCAAATTTTGCGCAATGGGGACGATCCGCGGCCACTTCGAGCAGCTCCGGCACTGCGCACGAAGGAAAGGAAAATGTTGTGCTCACACACCGTGTATTACATCCACCATACTGTAAATTAATACCGAATCAATGTTTTAGGAATGAAATTCGTACAAATGTTATCGTCTCGCTCTGTGAATTGAAATAGAAATGGGCAAGAGCACATATTCACATGGAATTTCATATCACTTCATTTAACGACCTTGTAAAATGCAGGCAAATCCACCAATCACCCCGCATGAGTACGCAACATTCAGATAAGGACCGCACACAAAAACCTACGTCCACACAAGAAATACGCACTCCGTAAAGCCGCTTGATTCTCTTCCCCCACCCGGGAAAGACCACGTGCGGCGTGACACGATTCATGGGCACGCATTTCGCCGGCTCAGGCGTGCGCGAACCCGCCAACTCTCAGAACACCTGATGCTGGCGGTCTCGGCCGGCGACGATGCGCAGCTTTGTACCGCGGTCGGCAGATGTTCTACACGGGGATGCGATGTAATGACGACGCGAGAATGCTGATTAACGCAGTTGAGGACGGTAGTGCAGCCATGTACACTAATAATTATTTACATGCACCGTTACGTGCCGGGCGATCGCGTAGCACACTCACCATATAGTGCAGAACAATCAGCCTCTCTCGCCGGCACTGTGCCCAATGGTCATCAGTGGTGCAGACGTATTGACTGAGACAGGATGATTACTGGATTTAGTACAAGGGAGCTGAAAAGTTGATGACGGTATCATTAAATAGATCCAAGATATCTAGTTACTGGCTGGACACAAAATGAGCGCAGCATGACATTGAGATAAACTCTTGGCATCTTAGCAAATGCCCCTGGGGCGTTGGATAACCGCAGTGTCCGCACTGGCCGAATGGTAAAACGGGCATTGCAAAGCTGTTGCATTCGAACCGGGCCTGGCGTCTGGACAGGTGCTGTGGCTCTGCACCCTATGAGTTATTTCAGTGTCATTTTCCGGCCCAGTCGCAGGTTGCGCTGCTACAAATCAACCAGATGATGTTGGCTGACCTTCTTTTCAGCTGTCTTGTCCTTTTTGCCCTGCAATTTATCAGAGATTTCGCTTATTGCTTGGAGGTTCAAGGTATAGATATGTTATTATCAGCTTGTTCTAGAGTGATTAAAATAGCTTGCAACATTTTTGATTAGGAAAGGATAATTGGTGTTAGGAAAACGGTTCGGCCCAAGACGTAAAATCTACGCGTTCGAGACTTATTGCTCCTAAATCTAAATCACCATCAGCAGCCAGGCACGCCAGCACACTAACACATTGTTATGCCCGCAAGCAGAAGGCGTGAGTGAGGAATTATGTTGTATGTTCTCTGAGACACAATCAATCATGATGACGATCGATTGCTGCAGCTAAAATGTGCTAAGTGGGTTAACGATGTTCTCCATCATGAATCCTCTATCAAAATCTGGGCAGATATCATTTATCCATAGAACATTTTTTATCAAAGCTGTTAGAGGGTGTCCGGACTAGCTTCTCGGCCTTTTTTATTTTCTCCTTATTATTTAAATCCATGCGCCTGCCAAATAAAAATCATTGGTACACTAAAATAGGCAGTCGCTTTACGTGAAAACTTTCTAGCCGGTCGCTGAAATGGTTAAATAGTTTAATCGTCCGCATATTGCGTCAGGTGCCCTGTTGCAGTTTTAAAAAACTACCGGTATGGGTCCGCTTGTTTAAGTTCAAATTCATATCAGCTAATGATTATGAGTAGTACTGTAGGATTCCCCACGACATAAAACAACGTGCTAAAACACATCGCGTTGTCGAGACTTTAGTCTATTTCGATCTGACTTGATTCAACGTCATGCTAGGGTAATGCGGGGATCAAGTTGCTAATAAAACAAGCTCTACTCAAGTAACAACTCATCCCTGAGTAATGTTAGGACTGGGGATTGCAGTTACTTGAGCTATTGCCTTGGCTTGGGCGCGGAAAGTAACGCACGTACGTAGCGAAACCCACGTGACACACTCAATATAAACGTCTATGACAAAGAACATGTTAGATGATGCACTCGGCTTCATCTAACGTAAGGATATGCGTGCAATGTACTTTTCGAGATGACAGGAAATCGGCCGCTTAAAGGGATATCAGTGAGCAAAACATCAGCGACAGTCATAAGAAACACCAACGCAAAGGATGTCAACGGTACACTTAACAGCTTCCTTTTTCATTTCCCGAAGCCCTTTCGCAAACTTCTCCGCGGCAACTATGCACGTTTGTTTGGCGACAACGCCATCAAATTAAAACAAAATAATCGCCGCAGTACTCAGAATTATGGCAGATATGATTTCACATGCATTTCCATTGATCGCTTCAACATGACGATAACATACCTTGGGAGATTCTGGTGCGTCCCCCTTGCACTGCGCTTTTTCAGCGCCGGTGAGCAGCTCGATTCTGTTGAACGCGGAGTCCACGATCTCCCCCCGACTGCCCTGCTCGTGCACGTCTTCCTTGCTCTGGCGCTGCATGTTGACACAGCATGAGTGACGTCATTCACTAGAGCATGGCCGGTTCGGGTCCTGACCATACATGTTCGCTACCGCTGAGCGTAAATAGGTAGGTGAAATCGCACTGAATGCGTCATTTTCGAGGGCCGCGGCAGCAGTTCAAATAATCACATTCCGTGCATCGCGTGATTTACACACTGTCTATCGAAAGTGCTGACGTCGTTGCAAGTACAACAAGTACATTCACTGACGTTGCCAGATCTTCATTAAGATTCAACTTTGTAATGCGTGCTTTGATTTTGGAACGCGAAACGAATAACCCATCTTGAGATTTCAAGGATTAGAATATAAAATTTTAAAAACAATATCTTAATATTTATGAGACATTTCTAAATAGACGCATTGAAATACATGCATATGTATACACACATAGGCACACACATGAATGTATATCTATATATTTTCATACGAGTAGAATATATAAGTAACTCACAGTAGTAAACATAGGAGTAACCACAACGGCACTCTCACGACGCCTGACAATGCACTTACGTGACAGGGCACCTCTGGAGGACATGTGACACGGACATGACAGAACATTGACACGGCAACAGCTGACGGGTAACACTGATATTATTCAGTTTGTAATGACAGAAGACGCCTTTAAATTTGGAAACGTATATTCATTAACGAACTTTCTCCAGCCATAAACAGACAAACGGATTGCTGCATGAACGTTGAGTTATTACGTGGTGGGTGGTAAGTACTATAAATGCGATTGTGGAAAGGTATTCGTGCCTTAGCATTGTTTTCGAGAGCTTATCTCATTGTCGGAGAAGACTGAATGGTACAAGAGATCACTTTCGGGTTTTAAAGGATGAAAATCATGCATTCCGATTGGAAAACCTGTTTTGGCACCAGACCAAACCGCACCGTACGAAAAAATGTTTTCCAAAAGTAACGCACAATTTTTATCCTTTAAGCTCAAAGCACAATTCTTGGGCCATACAGTCTTCTCCGACGATGAGACAAGATCTCGAAGCGTAAGAATGCAATAATTGACGAATATATAACTATTTTTGCTCTAACCAACTTTGATCTAAACGATAACGCAAAGTAAAAAACCCGGAAACTCCAACGATGCATAAACAGCTCGTCAATGCTGAGTGAGCGGTCCTTTTAATTGTAATAATATATATATATATATATATATATATATATATAACTTGATCAGCTGCTCCTGAAGGAGCCATACACAAGCACAGGCGAGCAACGTGATAGGATGTAACATGCAACATGACCAGTTTTTGGACATCAAGGGCAGGGCCGCACGGCACAGCATCCGGGACAGCGCAAAACAGTACAGTGTAAGACAGGGCACCGAACAGAGGACAGGACAGCGGGCAGGGAGGACACAGCGATTAGTGTAGCGAGGGCAGCACAGCGAACAGGACAGATGACGGCACAGAGGGCAGTACAGGGCAGAAGATCGGAGCAGGAGACAGAGGGGATGGGGGGGGGGGGGGCGGGGGGGGGGGATAGAAAGCAGATCGGAGGGCTGTGTACTGTAGGTCAGGGCAGGGGTTGACTGGGTAAGGTAGAGAATGGAACGGAACAGAGAAGCAGCCAGGTCGGAGAAAGGGCGGATGGAGAGCAAAGAGAAGGCCAAAGGACCACGTGGGACGGAGGGCAGGGCAGTGGGCAGAGAACAAAGGGCAGGAAGTTAAAGACATAACAGAACAGGTGAACGAACAGAGGACTTGATCATACCAGACCAGTTCTGTTCTGTCCTACCAACGAGCGATCCAGGCCTGCCCCGTCTTGTACCGCACGGAACGAGATAGGACAACTTTGAACTTGTCTCATTTTGCTCTGTTCTTTCGCTCGCACTGCCTCATGTCTCCTTTCTCGCGCTCTTTTGTCTGTCATATGCTCAGTTCCGTCCTGTGTCCTGCCTTTTGATCTATCATTCGGCTAATCTATGACGTGCCTGTCCTATCCTGTCTGCCTCGTTCTTTGTTTCGCCGTCTGTTATATCTTCTGCTTTCTGTTTGCTGTGCGTATTGTGCTGTCCTGTTCAGTCTCGCCTTCGAAACTGTAGCGCTGATCGTTTTGTTCTTGTTATTTTGTGAACTTATATTGCGCTAAGCCATGTCGCTTCGTTTAGTGTAACAATTTTTGGAAATGCCAGAGGTACATAAACAGCGGAGTGTCCATTTTTGTTCTTTCAAGGAAATTTCCGCAACAACTCAAAATGTTGGACTGTGAGGTTGAAATAATGTTACGTTTGAAATATACCGGCTCACTTTTCTCCTGGCAAAGGGACCATGAAGAATTCAGGCATAAGATTTATGTCCATGTTGCAATATTCAAGAACACATAGAAACGCAGCAAGAAATTCCATGCAATGTGATATACACAGCCCCCTGAAATAACGAAAGTAAAAAACGCCATCAGCCAATGCACGCAAGCTCCAATGCACGCAAGCTTTCACCAAAGCACCTGTAATGCGCAAACGATACGATACTTTCACAGCTTCGTAAAACTTTGCTTTGTGTAAAATCTGATTGATTCTGGTTGTGTTCACGAATATTTCTGTAACACGCGTATTTCTAATCACAAATTTTTGCATGCATATTCATGCACCAATGTTGCAACGAAGGATGGGAAACAATACACTGAAGTTGCGATGGTGTCATCTTTTACAAACATCACAAAAATCTTGTTCGCGACAGATCCCTCGTGAAATCACAGTAAAGGGGTGGTGAAAGTATCGCCTATCACATAACACTAATATCGATATCGTATCGCATATAGTACCGTAGAGTATTCTGCTTTAGCCACTTGCAACGGCGTGGATTTCGTACTGCAGGATATGACGTTCTGATGCTATGTCGTGCTATTGCTTAACGGTTGAGCGTCCTCCAATCAAAGGAGGGAAGAGGGGATGTAAGGTCGGATGCCAGGGACCGACTGGGTGTGCTGCGGCCAGTGACCTTCTGACCTCGGGTCGGCCATTCGTGGTCGGTGGTGGTTGCTGTCTGCGTGGGGTCGATGTTGGCGCGCTAGCAGGGCATTGAAGCGAGGGGGCAGGCACGGCCCTGACTGTATCGCGTCTGTTAGCCCATACCGCCTAGCAAAGCAGCAGGGCTTCCAAACGCATCACCTCCTCAACTGGGACCTACATGCACTCGCCCATCCATTAGTGTGTGCCTCAGATGCAGCCTTTCCTCCAGTCCGTGGTGCCTACCTGCACGTGCACTACGCGCTCCTGGTGCTGGGCCGAGTCCAGGTCCGAGCGGCGGATCTCCGCGGCGAATCTGAAGCGCCCGATGACGTCATAGGTGTGGTTGACAGTGAGCTGGACCGCCTGGGCCAGGTCGGCGCGCAGAAAGGCGCGGCTTCCCGTGGGGCCGGCAGTGTGCAGAGGGTCAGCCCGGTCACTGGACGAGCCCCAGTCCGAGCATAGCGGGTCGGCTTCTGGAGAAGAAAAAACCGAGGTCAGCATTATTGCACTTCCGTTACCGACTTTGTTGTTCTTATTTGAGGCTCTACACAAAAATTGTGCGAAAAGGTACAACGTCGTCAAGTGATATAGATGTGACAATAGCTTCCAACCTCATACTTTGTATATATATATATATATATATATATATATATATATATATATATATACAACCTGTTAAGTATCTACTTGTATTGCATTAGATATTGCATTACATTTTGTTGCAAAGCACTTAAGTGTGATGAAGGGCGAACGATAGGGAATGTTCTTTCAGCATCACTTCCTATTGTGCAACTGCTTTACCAGTCATTCAACAGTGAATGCTTTTGCAGCTGAAAAGTCCGTCATTCACCTACTTTTTTATAGCAATTACCTCCGGGATGAAACGCTCTGCAAAGAGAACGTTTTGGCGATGGAAGTTGTAGAGCATCCACCCGGGTTTTAAACGGAATTAGTCCATTTCATTTTGGTGAAAGGACAGTTTCATTTTAATGCTGCCCTTCTTACTCAAACAGTCTTTTATGCCAGTAACAGGGTAATCATAGCCATAAAACGAACCTCAGCAAGTTATGTTTTGTGCGATCTTTAGACTTCTGCATAATTTTTTATAACATTTCAGCAAAAATGTTGTGGGATCCAAATCAGCATGGGGAGGGGGGGGGGGGGCAGAGCCACACAGAACGCATACAGATCGACTCCCTCGGCGAAACGCAACCCTAACGTGGATAGCTGGTGTTACCTCTGCGTCATAACATAAGCGCAGTATGCAAGACCTATGAACGAATCAACGATAAGGGTGAGACAAGACGGCAAAGTTAGGTTGAAATGTTGAAAACATAACCGACAAAGCAAAACATGCCAATCAAGCACGAGTCACGCAGTCTCCATTTTTGTGATCACACAGTATTAGACTTCACCAGCTATCCACACGTCGTGTCACATCGCCCCAAGGTTATGTCGAAAGGTCGGATACAATAACAGCTTACCATCTGTCAGTGGGCTTGTCGCCAGTGTGACGTGGCTCACACGGTATCCCAACACGTCACCAGCCTGCACCTGCAGTGGCTCTGTTTTTACGTAGTTGTAACCTTCTTTAACTGTGATTTCAATCGACTCCACCACGCTGAACACACTGGATCTCTTCGGTAGACGGCCACATATCTGAAATACCCACGCACATGGCACGCGCGAGTGGGTCTGCAAATGCAGCAGGAACATACCAAACAAGTCATTTGGTAGGGGTCACAAGGACGATTCCAAGCCAACTCAACCAATCGATGTCACCCGACCCCTGGGATTTGGGGCGGGATCTTGTCTTCATGTTTTTCTCTGTCTCTGAACACGATCCTGAGAAAGTCAGAGCAGTCAAAACAATGGTTTTCAAGTTGCAGACTTTTTATTTATCATTTTTATGTTTTGAAAAATGAGATTTTTAAACGACCTTATCATGGTAAGCGTGCATCACAGACCAAAAATTCAACAACCAGGCGGCAGATCATACGTATGGTTGCTTTAAATCAGCGATATGTTCCAAAACATGACACATGCATGCATAAATTCTTCGTTAAATTTTTTGAAATATTTTCATAAGAAACATGCCAGCATATATTTGAACCTATGCATTATTTTTTACTTCTGTTTTTACCTTGCATTTCAAGAAACGCGCAACGGGAATTTGCAACGCGACCAAATCATCCAGCGAGCACTAAATCGGTCCTTCCGCGCGAAGCAGTAAATCGTCGTTCTCCGATCCCCCTGCCCCCCCCCCCCCTTCCCTCAATGCCGGGCATCTGACGCGAGGCGGCACACAGAGGGAAGGGGAGGGGCAGTCCATCGCGACCGACACTATGGAGCGTTTGTGGTGAAAACAAACACTGGTGGTGCGTCTGGGTGTTTAAGGAGACCGCGATATGCGCTGCTTATGTCATATGTACTGTCTAGATAACGCGAGTTCACAACGGATATCGTTCAGCACACCGCGATACACGCCTACGTACAACCTGCCGAAAAGAATATTGCAGCTTTTGACATTCGAATGTAAAGTAGGTTGAGGACCCTGCTGAATGCGGAACCAGATCAGGAGATGCACAGATAATCTCGGCCTTCGATGTGATGCTGCGACCGTGCGTCGGATCGGTGAGGCAATGTCAGCACCCATTGGAAATTACCGTCGTCTTCAATGTTTTTGCACTAAGACGAGCATTTCCGCGGCGGCCGTCTATGCGCGTGTTCTGAACACTTTGAAAGATCGGCTGCACGAAGGTTCATGCACTCCCAGATGTTTGTCGCTCATTGTCTTGTAAATGTAGTAGTCCCTAGTTTTCTTAATGGTGCACGCCTCAGCAAATCTGCTGCTCAAGAACTTAATGGTTCAGTCGACCTCTTCTGATGGTACTTAAATCAAGAATATTCAAAACGTGGAATGAGGTGATATGAAAATCATGCCCAGTGTCTGCATCAAGCTTAATACCAAGTTTGATACGAATGTAAGCATGTGCAATATTCGAATAAGATTACGTCTTTAGAAACTACTGAATTATTGTGATTCCAGGGCCGGTTGAATAGATCTAGGTCCATCACGAAGGACCGGGAGGTCGACGTAGACCAATAACAACAGCACCTCCCCCTCCCCGCGCCTCCCGCAACTGAAAAATGAAAGGCGCGCCCAGGGCATTCCCCCTCGCTCCCGTGCAGGCCCGCATTTGGTGTAGGGTTCATAAATACAAAACACGTTGCAGAGATTCTAGACCAATAACAAAGTAACCCAACTACCAGTCTACTTTAATTCTACTGGTTAAAATAGGATGGCCAATACTTAACTATCTCCGTACACCACTCGACGGGATAGTGATGCTTAGTTATTGTTAACGTTACGCGGTTGGCTATTTACACAAAATGATTGATTTCAGGCCTGGCCCTGCGCTTGGTAAAGAGGTGCTGTTACCGATAAGAGGCGAGATTCAGGGCGCCGACAGGATTTCTGACGCCCTCCTTAAACCAAGCGTGCGTTGCTTGTTACGAGATGGTCTATGGCTGGTTGCAGTCTGGTGGCATCATTGCGAACTGCCTAGACTGAGGGAACCCCGTGGTAGCTTGTTTCCCGCAACACGCGCGCTGGGCTTCATCAACTTTCAAGACACCGCGCAGACCGTGTTTCTTGGTGAATGCAGTTGCACTCATTGCACTCATCACGTGGTTTCTCTCTCCTCTTTGCTAAACGGATCGGCACACGTCTCCACTGTCGTGACAATGTTCCGACTTTATGATATCGCACCAAAATATCTAATTCATGATGTGGGCATGTAGCTTTCATCAAACTTTCACTAACGCCTGATCTTTGTGCCAGGACAGCACGCGAATGGTCCTCAACTGATTTCACTTTACGATTTCGAGCAAATGTTTTTTGACAACAATCATTGGGGTCGCTAAAAAAACAGTTTATTTTGGGCATTCCCTTGTAGCATCTTGACCCCCACGGGAGCACGACACGTCAGTGTCGCTCAGCCAAGTGGTTAGAATGGAGTGCATGGCCGAAGTATCGCTCCACAATCTTTGCCACGCACACTCGATCCGAATGGTCACACATATTGTAAGTAGTGCGATTAGGGTATCCAAACGTTAGTTATCTCAGCCCTACCGGGCCACGTATCAGCAACAGCCCCCCTCCCCCTCCCCCCCACGATCTGCGCGCCGACTCAGGCCACGTCAAATACACGACGCCAGGGGCAGGGACAGTTGGGGAAACAGCGGCCGATCACTGCGAGCGGGAAGACCGATTTGCCGCTCGCTGGGTGTGTTGCTAAGAGAATACCCACAATGTTTTCTTGAATTGAAGGGTGAATGTGCATGGAGGACACCGAAATCCTGCTTTTGAAAACCGTTTTGAATTGCTTGGCTTGTGATTTATAAAGGTATATATGATATATTTTGAACGTGTTGGCACATCAAATATATCCATGCTTGAGGTATATTGCCTCGCTATTGAATTTTGGGTATGTGATAAACACATTCCTAGATGCGGTTGTTCAAAAAGTGTCTCTTCAGAACATGAAAAATGAGAAAGCGTCTGTATTTCAGAAACGGCTGCTCCGTTTACTCTGATTTTCTCAAAACTGTGTTCAGAACAAGAGGAAACCCGACAGACAAAATGCCATCGAAATCCCAGATGGCCGGGTGTGAAAAGTAGTCTTTCGTTGGTTGGGATGGCACGACATGATACCATGATGGTTTAGCATGCATTTCAGCTCGAGAACCATAAACAACGAACACCCAATGGGAAAGCATAGTGCTTGATACTTATCATTGGAGCACAAGCATGAGGTTTACTAGCTCCGCAAAATTCTGGAAGTTCTTTCCCAGGCTGAAGGTTTCGCATCTTCACATATATTACGGAAATTCTGATCAAAAGGGTACCCATAACTCAGATAGGTGGTACTAAACCGGGCTCAGAAGACATTTTTCCTTTCTGTATCAAGAAACCTGTTTTCAGAATAAGCAAGACCCTTTGTGGATTCGGCAGCCCATGCTCTGGATTAGGAGGTCCTGTTTTGCGATACTGGTTCGAGAGGCACTCTGTATGAATAAGGGGGCCCCTGTTCTGGGAGACGCCCAACATACACACATAAGAAAGCCCCTGCTTTGAAACTGGAGGTCCGTTTGATTTATCAGAAAGCCGCTTCTCCGGATCAGGATATCCTGCTTTGGGATAATAACACAGTTTTCTGGTTTTGGAAGCCACCTTTGTTGATCGCAATAACCCTGTTCTAGATCAGCGGACTCTTTATGCATCAGGAGGCCTTTTTCTGGAACAGGAGGCTGTGCTATGCGATGACGAAGCCCTTTGCTGGATCGAAAAGCCCTGTATTAATCGAAATGTCCATGTTTGGATTTTCAAACCGTCGACGTATAATCACAAGGGATATCGATAGTGTAGCAATGTGACAAAGGAGTGCAATGATTCCGGTGTCTCCCCTAATGTGTCTCCGGTGCCTCCGGTGCCACATTTCAGGAGACGCCTGTGATGAGACCCCATCTTGTCCAGGGCCCCCTTGGAAACTTCGGCCCCCTTCTCGAGATTTGTGGCGCCACCCAAGTCCAAAACACACCGCTGGAATCGGAGTGCATGCCTGGAGTTCAGGTGCCGTCTGACTCAGAAGGTGTTAAAGGCTCACCTTGTTCTCGCATGCAGCATGCTGAAACATCCATAAATGGCGCTCTTGGCACGGCCCACGCTCGGAGACTCCTTCTGGTCGAAGAACGAGCACTTGCAACGGGCCCCGCCCCAAGGAAAACGCTTCTAATCCCATCAAGTAGGCTGGTGACGACACGGGAGCCCAGGGCATGAAGACGAGGGAGGCTGGAATGTCATCCTTCCGAGGAGCGTCAGCGGCGGTGTCGTCGGGTGTCAGGGTCATAAACTCGTCGAACGCCGTACTATTGACCGATGTCTCCAGCCCGTATGTTGTGACGGCCATGCTGCGGTGATCCCGTTCGGGCTCGTAGATAATGCTGAAAGTGAAGTCTGAGTGCTGAGTCTCTGCGCTGAGCGCCAGAGGAGACGGAGTTCCGATGGAGAACATCAAGGGATCTGAAATAGTCATCAACAGCGAAACCATGGCGGCTGGTACACAACGAAATACTTGTTCATCATGAAGAAGTTGAAAGTAAGAAGTACCTTATATAATCTTACGAACAATGCGTAGCAAATATATGTGTGGTTTCAGACGCATATACTGCACATGCTTATGGCTTTTTCATTTTTGCAAACCTTCGAGCCATGTCAATGCCAATGCATCTGCCGACACATACTTCTCATTGAAGCCTGGCGTCTCACCAGGTAGTCGACAGGTCTCGGGTGGACTGCTGTCACCTCCATCCAGGGTAAGGCTCATGCCAGAGCCGCGGTACACCCTCACGGTGCAGACAAACTGCTGGCCCGGCTCGACCACCAGTGGGCACTCGAGGTCAAACGGCGACACCGGCTCCCGCACGTCGACAGGAAAGCTCCGGCGGGTGGGCTGCTGACACGCGCCGCTAGTTACACGGGGAATCCACCGGACAAATAATAAATATTCCCTCGGGTTTGGTTTGCATCAAACGTCGAATTCCCGGCACCCTTTATTTATTTATCGTATGATGGAGTTTTCGCGCGCTTCAGCACCAAAGACCGTCTGGACGGAGCAATGTGAGGCGCCCCTGAATTCGAGATGGCCCTCTAAGTCCGTTTGGGCCATGTTGGCGTGCGGTGTGCCGCCAGTGATAAGTCTGTGAAAGCGATTTCGGTAAATCGTGCGTGGTTACTGTGAAGGCCCCGCTTGGACCATGGTCCACATCGATTGATTACAGATGTGTTTCACGATACATGGAAATGCATTTTTTTTAGCCATTCTCTGCCAAAACGTTGCCTAAGCCTGACCTTGTTTCTGCCTCTGTGGTCTTTGTGTGTGTGGGGGGGGGGGACACTTACTTCAGTAACGTCGGCCCGGTCGGTTGACAAATCGTCGATGGTAACGTAGCGGCCCTCTGCATGGGCCTGTGTCGAGGGTGACTTCTTCGCGTCAGAAGGCAGCGTGAATCCTCCCCCGTTGTCAAAGCTGACGAAAGAAAGTCCAAATTTCAAAATCTCTGAAATTTCACCATTTTTTTTATTGGATTATGTTATATTGTACTGTGCACTTTTCAACGTGCAGTAGTGCTCATTAAAATTCATGGCTATTCTTGAGCACGAATCGACAACACAAAGAGGTTGGCAGGAAACACAAGCATTCAAAACACTAATGCAACCTTAAGTGCACTCAGAATGGCAGAGGAAATAGATGCATCTTACCTTGGCACATCCGAATCATTCTATATGTGACTGAGATGTTGTTGAAGCCCTTTAAATGTCACCACCAAACGACATCTAATCCCAATTGCAGTGGGATAATGCAGCAATGATTAAATGTAGCTGCGGAACGATATCCGAATGCCCGTCTGCTCCACTCCGTGTGGACTCGAGATAGACTAAGCTTCGTGTTCTGCCGCCTATTACGTTCCCTCTCCTGGCCTGTGTTGTCAAAGTTCCACTATGACTCTGGCTCTCCAATTGTCAAAATCTCGCTGTGGCTCTGGCTCTCAGATGGTCAAAGTCCCGTCATGGCTCTGACTCTCAGGTTGTCGAAACTCGACTATGGCTCTGAGCTTTCCGGTCGTCACAATTTGTTTCAGCGGACACAGCACATGGCAGTCGGACAGTGACGGACAGGCATTTACTTCAGCATGCGGAGGGTATAGCTGACGTCATATTTCGCCGTCCCGTGATGACCCGCGCACTGAGGTGGACTACGTTTTAAATGCGTCGCATGAACTCGACGTTACAATTACCATAGATGCTAATGCAGAATCACACTGCTGAAAGCACCAGAGCGCTAGCTATTGTAGAAAGCACTTCTTATGTCTTAACATCTGTCACGAATATTTGTTCAAAGAAACTTACCTTTAAATGCAATGCTCCACATTTGAAGGTGTCAAAGCAAGCAACAGATGTAATCAAATAAGCACACTCATAAGTGCTGACATACTTTTGAGCGGAAAAGACTGTCCTACACAACACAATTTCTCTATTTAGCAAATATTTAGTAAATATGTTATTGTTTGAATGCCTCATCGCGCCTTGCACAACATTGATTGAAAGTCCTCTGACGGCCTTTACATCTGAAAATAGTGTTCATGAACGCCATATATGCACGACTCGGCAATTATATTCTTCTTGGCCCTGATCACCGCATGGCTGGTGGAATGGCAGGACTTGTATGACATTATCATGGTGTCATGGGTGACCTTGAAATAGTCTCCCTCTTCTGAAATAGTCTGCACCTCTTCGTGGGCGTGTAGCTCAGAGACTAGAGGGGCTTAGGTCTTACGAAGGGCAGGGCCGTGGACTGCACCGAATGACCTTCAGTATTACTATTTCAGTTTAAACCTCCATTAAAATGTGGAACAGTCTCTCTAGGTAGATATGCAGGAATCTGAAATGTGCCTGTCTTCAAGGCGTGGTCGTAGCGTCCCCAAGATGCACGGCCACAGTCGTGTATTTGTTCACGTTTGTGCCCCAGACCTGACAGCTACCTGCACATGACGCTTCTTGGCGCCGCAGAGCTGTCGGTGCCAGTGATGTCCGCGTCTGTCACGGACAGGTCCGATGGCTCGGCTGCCAACTTCACTCCAGTGATGCTCGTCTGTGGAGAAACAATCTGAGGCCAGGGCAGTGCAGGTTAGGCGTTCCATTACAGACCATCATGTGACGATCCATGACAGACGATCATGTGGTTATCCATGACAGACGATCATGTGACGATCCATGACAGACGATCATGTGGCGATCCATGACAGGCGATCATATGACGATCCCTGGCAGAAATTCAGACCCGTCCGATACCGGTGCCGGTAGCAGCGCACGCGAGAGAGGAGCGTATTTTCGCATTAAGCAGGGAAACATATTCCGTATATGTGAGAGAAATAAGTCGTACAAAGTCCAAGCGGCCCAAGCCATCAAAACATGCCGCAAAGCACGAGCAACGATGAAAAGAGCCTCTCCACACAAAGGGGACCGCGCCAATTGCCGCTAAAGCTCAAAGGCTAAAAAAAACTGAGCAGGACGCAGATGCAGTATCGAGACGGGAGCCGATTCCCACGTGGTTGGAGGCGTGCAACACGGACACTAAAGGCGGCGGTTCCTGGCGCAGCCGCGAACTCAAACTAAATGACATTTAAGCGAGGCCTGAGCGCGTGGAGCAGCGCTGCACGGGCAATGCGTCCGGGTGATCCGTCAGTGTTGAACGGCTTACAAATGTGAAACTGAGAACCACTTAAAGTTGTTGGGAAACGATGTAACGTAACGATCTAACGTCACATCAGGGGTGGCAGCACGCGGGCGCCAACGGTGTCACCTCTTCATGCAGCGGGGCGAGCTGAATCACTTCCAATTTGTCACTCGAGCCTAGCCTGCACTCATGTTCACAGGTCATCATATACGCAGCAGTTTCTTGGATCATAGCAAATGTGCAGCGAACCTCGCTCCCTGTGGTAAAGACGTTGGCGTGTTTGAGGGACGTGCTGCCACAGCGGGCTGCAGAGGCTTGGACGTCCATCGGGGCGGGGCAGACGGCGTCGGACACCCGCTGCAGGCCTGCAAACATACCGGTTCGTGTTCACCTCATGACATTTCGATGCAACCTCGAACGGTTGTAGAAACAAACAACGACTCTGAAGATTGAGCGTGCTAATTTTTTTAGCATTTAATGAAAACGCTTACGGAGTTGTTTCGGATAAACAACTCCAATCACTGAATTCCTGTCATGCAAAATTTGTTTGACTGATCGTTTAGCATCAACAAATTGTCTGTCCCCACCCACAGCTGTGGCCGTGGCCCATGGCTATGGCAATGACTGCAGCAGTGGTTGCGGCTGTGGATGTGCCAACAGCTAGGACCATGGCTCCGACTGTAGCCGGCGATACACGCCAACTCACGCAGCAGCGAGCTGCAGAAGTAGACGCGGCCCAGTTTCGGACCCGCACACCGCGCACGAACTGGCCAGCGGACCGAACTGGAGCCGCTGGCCCGAACCGCGCACGAACTGGTCAGCGGACCGAACTGGAGCCGCTGACACGAACCGCGCACGAACGCCAGGGTCTGGCATCGGGGCTGGCAGACCACAGGTGTCAGATGCTGCCGATGCACGTCTACGTAGTTTCCATGATCAATGTCTTTCTGCTTCGATGTTGCTCGCTTCTGTTGTTGCCCGAGGTTTTATTTTAGCGTTCTAATTTCATCTGGGCTAGCTTCAAGGCGCATAGTGCCCGTTCAGTGTGATCTTTCAAGATTGCCGAAGGCCTGAAGTTGAAGGGAGTGTTTCGCATTTGAAAATATTGAAGCAAGCATCAGATATCATGAAACAAGCTCACTTACAACTATTAGTACAATTTTTAAGTGTAAAAGACTGCTTTAGTCAGCACAGTTCTCTGCTTAGTAGATATGATCCTTAATGTGTCTTAGTTTGAAAACGTTATCGTACCTTGCACAACAATGATGCGAGCTAATTGACGGACGTTGTAGCTGGAAATCGCGTCCACGAGCCCAGATGTGAACGCCGTGACAACAATAGTTTTCCTAGCCTTGATCACCACCTTGCTTATGGAATGGCAGGATTTAATGACGTTGGTATGACGTCATGAATGCCAAGGTGACCGAGATAGTCTCCGCGATATGCCTTTCCCACTTTCGCGGGCGTATAACTCAGAAATTAGAGGGGGTTAGATCTCAAGCAGGGCAAGATTGTTAATAGCACCGAAAGATCTTCAAGATGGCTATTTCAGTTCAAAACCGCATATCAACATGAACTCTCTTCCTCTCACTTCCTTAAATGACTTCTCTACTGCAGTGTTAATAGAGCTATAAGTTGTATAGCGCATTAAGAATATCAGGAATTCCAGCAAACACATTTTCAGACAAGGACGTTGTTTTGCCACTTTAGCGGTCACTCTATGTTGAAACAAATAGAACTCAAGATTGAAGACCTTAAAGAATCGTGACCACTTGTACGCGGAAACGGACGTGAGCACCAGCGCAATTATATGGTATTGTTTCAGTCGAGCCGGTGCGGTCCCATTTAGCCACGACCCTGGCCGACGAATGCTCGTTGATATGCTTGAATGTCAGCCGTGAAAGGGCCGTCAGTGTCAGTTGTGTGATCGTTGATGGGGCGGCGAATGAGCGTGTCATTTTGCGGCGGCGAAAACGGACAAATTTACAATGACGAACATCTTGGACAATTGCTATAAAAACATTATGAAATGCGCACACACTTCGGTTGGATGTGGGTCACCGTGATCTGGACTTGACGTATGCGTCAATTTGACGGCTCCAGCTTGCTCAGGCTAGGCGCCAGCGTGCTTACGAGTTTATTTTCGAGAAAAAAGCCTCGCTTTTCGCTTCCTGACCGATTTCTGGCGTTGTTGTGGCTGATGGTGTACATTATGGGTCCTTTATAGATTGTACATGTATATGCACGGTACAGTCGGTCTCACGTCGTTATATTATGTGTTATCATACCGTTATCGTCGTCGTATGAAGCAATCTTGCACGTGTAAAATATCGCTTTGGACAACAAAATTTCACTTCTTATTGAATACGTCTCTCAATACGCCATTGTTTGGTTGCGTCATAGAAACTCTGTATGACGTCAGAGCCGCTGGCAGGCTAGCCGCGTCAGAACTGCCAATGAAGCGGACGAATTCACTCACTCGTGGTACTTCAAATTGCCAACTGGGGTGGGGGGTGGGGGATGAAATGGGGATATTTGTTAAGGCGTGTGTGCTTAACCCGTGTATCGTTACGTGCTAGTATTTTGGCCATTCCTCGTGACATTCTTGTATATTTGTCCGCGGTTTTATGCTGTAAGCTTAAATTCACATCCTAGGTTATGGCATCATTCTTAAATCGTTTAAAGAGAATGTTTCACATTTAAAGATATCAAAGCAAGCGTGGGATATGATGAAACCAGCTCAATTAGAGCTACTGGTGTACTTTTGAAGTGGAAAGGGCTGCTCTAGACAGCACAATTCTCTGTTAAATAAATGTGCTTCTCAACGCGTCATGGTTTGATTACGTCATCGTACCTAGAACAACATTAATTGAGAGCCAATGAACGACCGTTATACCTTAGAATTGCGGTCACGAACCCCAGATATGGACGTCTCGACCATCACATTTTTCTTGACTTTAATCGCCGCATAGCTCATGGAACGACAGGGTTTAAATGACGTTATTATGACGTCATGAATGCCAGAGTGACTTTAAAACACTCTCCCCGATATATCTACCTCCATTTTGGCAAGCTTGTAGCTATGGAACTAGACGGGCTTAGGTATTAAAAGGAGCAGGATTGTGAACAGCACCGAAAGGTCTTCAAGATGTCTATTTCAGTTCAAAAATTCATAAGAATGTGGAACACTCCCTTTGATTTCCAGTCTTATTTCCGTCATCTTTCATACCGCTGCCCAAACTCCTGTAGTATGTAATACAAAATGTGATTCGTGTTTCAAACTCGCACTCACCGCATTAAGTTGGTTCATAGCCAACGTGCGTCCGTTGATGCCACAGATCGTGATGACGTACACCAGACACGAACAATTCAATGATCGTATTTTCCCTGACACTGAACACTACATGGCCAGTGAGGTGGCGACACTCGGGTGAAGTTACTATGGAGCCATGCATGCCTCTGTGCCCTTGAAATAGTCTGCACAAAATAGTCTGCAAAGTTCGCGAGGGCCCAAGTCGGAAACAAGGCAGTTTTAAGCCTTAAAAGGGCATCACCATTAACTAAGCTACCTAAGCTACTGAGATCACCGATCATATCTCGAAAGTCGAAGAATTCACGGCGTGCCATGCATGAAAACTGTGACTCGGTGCCCCGTGTGAGTTTGGCTCCTCTCCACACTCTTGACTCTTAACTAGTCACTAGTCCACGCGTTACGTCACTGGTATATGCCTGTTGTGTAAATGCAGACAGCCAATGGATCGGCGCAATGTAATTAAGCGATCTTCTTTTTAATGCCGGTGTTCCGTACAAATTTGCCTTTACACGGTTTCCTTTTTTGTGAAATGTCGGCTTTGCTGTCCTGTCTCTGAGCTTCTGTTTTATCTCCATTTCTCGGTCCCCTGTCGAGTTTCCCCTGTAGATTTATGTTTTGTTCAGTTTACCGTCCCTGCGACCCAAACCCTACGGCCAGCCCGGAAACTGTGCCACATGTATCGTGTTCTGTGCGGGGCCGCGCCGCCCGGTAACCGGGCAGTCGTCTCGCGAGCGCTGCCAGGGAGAGGAAGCGTATGTCCTCTTCCTGGCCCGAAACCCAAACCTCAAAATAAAGCATCAGCCGACGGATGCGTGTTGACGAACGATCGAACGATACCGAATAGCCGGGTTCATCGAAACTGGGATGGTCTAATTCAGTTCACAGCTCTGTGAAAACCAGGTTCTTAACTTGTAAATTCTAACATATCAAGGGCTAGCAGGACAAGGGTTAGAGCTAAAAAGAGCTATCAACATGGACTAGTAAGAAAGGTACGCTGTAAAGCGGTTTCACTATCAACTTTCTTCACTGGAGTCTGTTTCCATCCACCGTGATCGCGGAATTGGACTTATGTTACTTTGCGTATGGGTTCGGTATGAATGTCATCCGCATAAATCAGCCTTCGCGAGTGGCACAGCGGGCGGCACAAGCATTTAAGAGACGGGGATTGGTGTAAATTTCAATATGTGCGCCACTAAGCCACCTGCCACGTCGCTGGTATATATCTGCTGTGTATATACAGCCTTGCATCTAACTGAACATTCTAGCGATGTTTCCCAGAGCAAAAATGCTGTTCCAAAAGAGTCACCACTAAACGCATAGTGGAGGAATCAGAGCGGTAGTGGTATGTTTCGTTGAATATGCAGGATAGTTTCCTCATATTTGTATATAATGCCCCGAACAGCGCCTCAATAACTCACACCACTTATTGAGCAGGTACTTTTGCCAACTGATGTATTGATAACAACATAAAACATATTGGGGAAGGCAAGCACATGGAAATAATGGTTTTCGTAGTGGTGATCAGGGAGTCCAATGGCATTTCTCCCGCCAAAGCAGCCACTTCACGTACAAATTATAAGCTGTTCAGAATGATTCTGAGAAAACTGGCAGTTCTGACCAGACCGGACGCGTCCGATATAACTATGAGTGAAAAGCACTAAAAGGCGGCATACTTCCATTACAAATAGGCCCCAGTAAGGCTGTGCCCGCATAATCATGCTGTACCGGAAGACTCGAGAGTATTGTGGTGCAGTCTACTCAACTACTACATTGTGGTGCAACTACTCGCCCGACAGCCCAACCATTGGCATTTACATTGACCTTGCTTGTCTGCTTGACCAAGCCTTTTTACATCTAACCCAAAGATCTGGGTCGCAAATAAATCATGGTTGAGCTTGGATTGCCTCATACCAATCCGAACAGCATAACTAACTTCACACGCACTCCGAAAAGAAAGAATCACCAT